ATGTCGATTTAGCGATGTCTATCCGTCTGTGGAAATCGCTCTAGCTTCCGAACGAAATGAAGCAGGTTGATAACATTTTACTAATATGTATATTATGTCCGCAGGACTTTTGGTATTGAAAATGGGTGATGTAGGTCCACGTTTTGGTATAGCCCCCATGTTATGGTACCCCCTCCCACCTCTTTCGATATGTTGGTTATTTAAGCGACATTATTAACCGGAATTGTTTAAAATTTGGTATTTGAAGTTCATAATGGGTACTACAGCCTTAGAAAAAAAATTGTCTTTGCAGGTCCACGTCTTCGTATAGCCCCCCATATAACGGTACCTCCCGATATTCGGTATTTTGATGATTTTAGCGACATTATTCACCGGAATTGTTTCAAATTTCGCATTTGAAGTTCGTAATGAATACTACAGCCTATGACAAAAAATTGTCTGTGCTAGTTCACGTTTTACAACTCCCATGGTTCCTCCCTATATTCGGAATTTTGATGATTTTAGCTACATTATAAACAGATTTTTTTCAAGTTAAGCATTTAAATATTATAATGGTTTATGACAAAAGTTGCCTATGCAGGGCCACGTCTTAATATACGGATAGATTCGCTATTTTTAAGATTTTTAACAGAATTTTGGAATGAATTTTATTTTTTTGAAAATTGTCAAATTTGTACCAAGGTTCGGTCCGCCCGAACTTACAACTTTTTTTACTTGTTTTTTTTTTAATTCCGAACTTTTGTGGGAGATGTACCAGAAGAAGTTGACCGATATTGCCTACCTCCCGACTCGAACTAAGTTTAATAATAATATTACGATATACCAACTTTGGACTAAATCCGATACGCCCTTCGACAATTATAGTGTGCACCAGCAAGCCAGACATACGCACGGATATGGCTAGATCAACTTCAAATGTCCTGAAGTGGATTTGGTCCAAAGAGACCTAGGGTCTAAAACCGTAAGGCACGTTTTGGTCGTATAAAATGATATATAAAAAGGACCAAATATTGACAAGGACATAAAAATTGAATTGAAATGCAAGGATTCAAAAAATTATTCAAAGTTCGGCCCGGTCGAACTTACTGCTTTTTAACTTGTTTAAAATATGGTTAAAAACCTCCTTTAAATGGGATCTTAACAAATCAAAATATCCTATAAAATAATCTGTCATAAAATTGTACTATGGGTTTTAGAAGAAGTCAAAAGTCTAAAGCCTACCCAAACGCCAGGAGTTCATATATATTTAAGAGACATTTTGAGGTTAAAGCCGTAATTTGTGTGAGTTCACCAACAAATCGTCATTTTAGAAGAATGGCGACAAAGATAAAAACATTATCCATCAAATTTTACTATAAGTCTCCAAAGAACCGAAATCTCTATTTCCAACGAATATCAATAAAATATTTGCATCAATGTTCCGAAAAAAATCCGAATCAATTGTCCCCGGACTTTTTTCGATTTGACGATTGAAAGTTTCATGCAATTTCGTTTTAGACTGATGATGTTAAAAGAAGAAATATTTTACACAAAATTTCACTATCAATCTCAGAATAAACTATATTCCTAGGGACAATAGTTTTCATGGAAAATACATTCAACATTTGTGTACTCAAAGTGAAAATTATGTCTTTGCTTTTTTGTACTGTTAATTCAACAAGGTTTCAATCCAAACCAATATCTACTTAATTTTTTGGGAAAAATGTCAAAGTAACAATTATTCTAGATCAAATTTCACTGTGAGTCTCTGAACAAATGAAATTTGTATACTTAATATATACCATAAAAATTGCATATTTTTTTTTTATTAAATTTAATTGTTAAAAACCCTAGTTTATTTCTGAAAATTTTTGCACTTTTTTTTCAATTTGCTGCAAATCTTCTTATAATTTTATATCCCAATAACCAGTCCCATTTTTTTTTTAATTTTTGCATTTGTGATAAGTGTAAATGCTGGTCTTAGCCCAGAATAAAATATGTATTTACAAAAATGCCATCAACATAATAACATGACAATGTCGGGCGTGACGTCAATAAAACCAGATGATTTTGCATTTTAATGGTCGCACATTTTTTGTCTTTGTTTTGATTTTCGGCCAATAAAACGCCACAATCAAAATATTAATTGAATAAAGATTAGACTTTTTTCTTTTCAAAATTTTCAAAGTTATTAGTCGTTGCTATGCGCTATTATGCTGGCTCATTGTCAATAGTATTATGATGGGCGGAATCCAGTTTTAAAAGCAATACATTTGGGTTGATGTTAACGATTTTGTGTACAATATACTCCAAATCTTTATCCGATATAAATATAAGAGCTTTTTCCAAATCTGAGCCGATCTTGATGAAATTTGGCAGAGGTGTTTCTGGGCTCTATCTGATATCTGCTACCAAATATCATTGGTGTAATGCATATATTACAAATGTGAGGGAATTAAGCTCTAAATCGAATGAAACATACCGGACGAGATATAAAATAACTGCAACAAAGTCAAACACCATAATTCTTACATGTTTTTTAAAACTTAATTGAATGAAAGCAAAAAATGTCGGAAATACCATCAAATTTCTGAATAATGGTCTTCAAACGGCCAATGAAACCGTCACACGCTGCCCGAATGTTGCTCTGCGGTATTTTGACCCATTCCCGGCGAAGCGCATCCTTGAGTATTAGTTTTGATTTTTTATTGTCAACCTTGCTTTCCAAAATACTCCAGACACAATAGTCCAACGGATTGGTATCCGGACATTTTGGTAACCATTGTGCGCTGGAAATGAAGAAAGGAACCTCATGTGGTAACCATTCTAGGGGTTACGGCCAAAATGTTAGCGTGGCCAAGGCTTTATTACACCCTCCAGAATATTTTCGCGATAATATTCGGCATTTATTCTGATGCCACGGTCGATTAATACGAGCGGAGAGCGACCATGGGCTGTTATGGCAGCCCACACCATCACCATGGGCGGCGCTTGAGTTCTGGTAACCAACTGAAGGTGCACATTTTCAGCTAAACTCTTTGGCAAGTAAACACGACCATTTTGTTTGTTTACAAACTGCTGGACAACGAATGTTTTCTCATCGGAGACGGAGAAAACCAAATTCGGCAGTTCACCACTTTCGGCCAAGCGAATCATCTCATTATCTCTTTTGAGTCTATTTTCTTTCTGTTGCGATGTAAGTTCTTGCACTTTTTGGAATTTCAACGGTTTTACCCCGAGCTCATTTTTCAATATTTGCCATATGGAATATTGCGATATTTTCATCTCACGAGCCATTTTTCGGCCACTGCGACGCGGGTTTCGTTGAAGTCGCTCCTTTACTTTTCGAACCATTTCTGCTGATGTTTTTTCTTCCGTCCACTTCCTTGACGTCGGGCTACGCCACCAGTATCACTATAAGGAGCGATGGTACGAGACACAAAAGATTTATTCACATTTAAATGCTGGAGTGCTCTAACGATAGCCACTTGTGGTTCTCCAGCCAAATATAAAGAAATCACACTATCACGCTTGAAATCCATCACGAATAACTTTTTTTCTGGAAAATTCTCACCAAAATGCTTTTTTACGCTTGTAAACAATATAATTAGCTGTCACTGGAATAATTTTACCAGCTGTCGGATGAGTGGCTCATAAATGGCAGCAGTCTGAAGTTGGTTCCCGCTTTTTTCATCTCAACCTGTATATATAGAATTTGGAATATATCGGACACTCCATTCGAGAGTCATCGTGACCACCAATCAGACAGGCAGACGAACGGTCTAGCACTCCTAGACCGAATCCAAATTTCCTTAAAAGAAATTGCTCCAAATAGACCTAGGGTCTAAAAACGCTATTTCGATGAGGCACGTGTTGGCCGTACCAAATGACATAGACCCTCTCTAGCCATATAGCTGGGGTGGGGGCTTTTTCGACAGCTGTTTTAAATTAATTTCCAAAAAAAACTCTCAAATAGTTGTTGCGATTGTTTAAAAAATTTTCTAATGTCTGTCCATATTTTTTTTAATTTACGATTTTCGGATCTGTATAAAAAATTTATTTTAAAAACATAGAGGGCTCTTCGATGGTGTTTGAGAGTAAATGTTAAAAAATACCTTAAAATTTAAGATAGTTGCTAAAAAATATATTTTGAAAAATCCGTTTTTCTTTGACCCTAAAAAATATCTGCTATTGAAAACTCCACATTTCTTTGATGGCTGCTGAAAAACCAAAAACTTAAATCGCTGATAGTTGTTAAATATATATTAAATAAGTAAGCAACGGAGTTGCGATACACTATTATTTGCGGTACCGCTTCTGCAGATCTAAAACCAGACTGTCTGAATTAATCCCTCAAGATGTTAGAATACATAATTGGACTTCTTACAATAAAATTTCGAACATAAAGATTGTTCTTTAATTTTCGATTGTTAGGGATATAGATAAAGGGGTTGAGCCATGAGATAATGCTCAATTTATGGGCAAGCGTCCCATATTTAGATTACACTTAATATATCTAGCTATATACCTTAACGGAATCAACATCAGTGTACCCTTTTCTACCCTATTTCATGTTTTCACGATTCCGCCAGAAAGTGGCTTTCAGCATTGAAAAATACTCGTGGTTGAACGGATATTTTGGTATTTTTTCATGCAAAAGTTTTAGTCCATTTCATTGTCGATTACCATCGAAAATGGTAGACTTCAGTCTAGTCCTAATCTCTAACCCCATCATAAATTTCGCGTCGATTTGTCTTTATCCGTGATCTGTAAAAAAAACCGCGAGATCAAGAATATTTCCAGTTTTTGGTCGATTTCATCTCCTTAAAATTTGGCGATAATTTCCCTCATCTTCATTTGTTTTTGTTTTTAATTTTTTCATTGTCCTGCAAAAGACAAAATGACAGTGGATAACAACTTAATCCCCTCCCCTCATTAATAAAACTATTTCCATTTCTTTTTTTTTTCAAATTTCGTTTAAAACAATTTTTTTATTAACAAATTAAAAACAATCAGACATCTTAGGCTTCAGGGGCAACGGGCAAATGGGCACCTTGGGGTTGGAAACCGTTTTCATCGGCAACATAGTTGACGGTGTAGGTTTGGCCATCATCAGCAACGAAGGAGTAAGAGCCCTTGACAACAATAGCTTCATCTTCAGAGCCAACATTCTTCAATTGACCTTGAGCTTCAGCTTCGACACCATCGCTGGTGGCATAACTGTAATAAGTAGGAAATAGAAAAAAAGTTGAATTAATGTATCCTTTTTTATGTTCGTCGAAGGGTATCACAATGTCAATAAGAGTTGGAGAGTTCTGGATACTTACGCATATTGGAAAGATTCGGGACCAACTTCAGATTCGCTCTTAAGGACAACAGCATCTTCGGCGGGAGCGGCCAAAGCCAAGGCGAAGAGAGCGGCGAAAACAATGATGAATTTCATGTTGGCTGTGTGTGGTTGAAGAAGCTTTTGCGTGGCTTACTAGAAGAGTTGCTGCAGCTGAGTGATACCCTTCATCGATGGTCGTTTAACATTTATACCAATTTAGCGATGATGATGCGAAATCTTTTGGTTTTCTTTTCTCCACACATTGGCCTAAACTCTCTGCCAAATTTAGACTAGCAACAACTCCGGTAAGTCACCCTTCCAACTAGAAAACAAAACAAAGAGTTCAAGACACACCGAAGATGTCAACAACATATTTGGAATTTATTGACTATTAATGGGGCGTTTTCATTAACAAGCGTAGAGCGTGCGATTATTTGAATTTGAAATGGAAAATTCTGATCTGATTACGTTGACGTCATAATCTGCCATCAAACAACCGATTATGGTATTTATGTAAATGCCTACTTATGTTAATCAAATGCTCTCGAAATGAATGGATTTACATAGCATTTGCGTTTTGGACAAAGAAGAGCTAGAGAATTGAATATTAAGAGCATAACTTAAACTATCAACATGGAATAAGTGTTTTTTTTTTTCTTTTTTTTTTGTAATTGATTAGAAAACCATGTATAGAACAAAAAAACAAGATACGAATTTTATGAACTGTCACTGAACTGCGCCACTAGTGACATTGCAATAATTTTCTATGGCTTAATTTTATTTAGATTAATTTATTTTAGAATTGGATCAATATTTTTAGATATTTTAATATTGATGAACGTCTTTGGAATTTTTAATTATTATTATTATTATTATTATTATTATTATTATTATATTATTATTATTATTATTATATTATTATTATTATTATTATTATTATTATTATTATTATTATTATTATTATTATATTATTATTATTATTATTATTATTATTATTATTATTATTATTATTATTATTATTATTATTATTATTATTATTATTATTATTATTATTATTATTATTATTATTATTATTATATTATTCTTATTATTATTATTATTATTATTATTATTATTATTATTATTATTATTATTATTATTATTATTATTATATTATTATTATTATTATTATTATTATTATTATTATTATTATTATTATATTATTATTATTATTATATTATTATTATTATTATTATTATTATTATTATTATTATTATTATTGGATAAATTTTGCACATAACCTAAGTTTCATACAAATATTACGATATTCAAAGCTTGGGCCCAGTCATGGACTCGATTTACTCTAAAAATTAAAGCATTTGTGTAGTGTTTGCGTACAATTCCAATTTACCAATGTCCGACGATACCTCCCGATATTCGGTATTTTGAAGGTATTAGCAACATAATTCACCGCAAATGTTTCAAATTTCATATTTGAATCTTTCAGTATCGGTACTAAGGGCTATAACAAAAAAAAAAATACGTACAGCTCCCATACAAAGGTTTTCATTTTAGCGGTATTTTTCGACAGATTTTTTTCAACATTTTTAAAGTTCCTTCCAAATGGTGGAGGACATTAAAAGTTTGACCTGGCTGAATTTATCTGTGTTTTATTTGTTTCCATTTGATAGGGATATAAAATATGTTAAAATGTATCAATTTTGGAGGAGGTACCAGAGGAGGTAAGCCGATATCTATCATCTTCATACCAAATATTGCGTTAGTATAAATATTGGAATTTGCGATGTTTAGAAGCAATCAAATGCTTATTTTGCATTTCATGAGCATTTTGGGTATTCAAAATTTTCACCCCTTTGTGGGAGAGGTGCCGGAAGTAGTGGACCGATATCCATCATATCTTTCGGTATTAAAAATATTAGGATGTGTGAAATTTGTGAAGAATCAGATGCTTATTTCGCTTTTATGAGCAATTTGTTATTTAAATTTTTTAACCCATTTTTGGGCGGAAGGCCCGATATCTACCATATTCACAACAGATCTTGTGTCAGTAAAAATATTGGAATGTGTGAAATTATGAAAGACATAATTATTCACAATTTTGACACGTTGTGGGGGGAGTAACAGAAGGAGAGGTCCGATATCTACCCCCTTCATGCCACATTTTGTATTAAAAAAATCATTGGGGAGTGTGCAATTTGCAGAGAATCGGATGCTTATTTCGCATTCACCACCATTCTATGGAGGGTATATTAACTTTGTCATTCCGTTTGTAACTCCTCGAAATATTCATAATAGACCCTACAAAGTATATATATTCTGGATCAGCTTAAAATTCTAGGACAATCTGTCTGTCTGCCTGTTGTAATCACGCCATCTTTCGAACGAATTGAGACAGAAGGCATGCATAGTTTACCAGTAAGCAGGTTAAGTTCACAAATGGACCATATCGGTTCACGTTTTCGTATAGCACCCATATAACGGTACCTCCCGATACTCCGTATTTTGATGATTTCAGCGACATTATTTACCGGAATTGTTTCAAATTTGGTATTTGAAGTTCGTAATGGGTACTACAGCCTATGACGAAAAATTCCGTAAGCAGGTTCACATCTTCGTATAGTCTCCATATAACAGTTTTAATTTGAGTGGTAGTTTCCGGAAGTTTTTTGAAAAATTTCAAGTTCCTTCCAAATGGAACATGTTAAGAGTTATGATTATTCCAAATGTTGACCCTTTTGTGGGGAAGGTACTTGATTGATTGGGCCGATGTAGCCCATTTTTGCACCTGGCCTAGCACTGAAAAAAATATTGCGATTTCCAAAGTTTACACAAAATCAAAATATCGTTTCTCCTGGTATGAGGTAAATGATTCTTTTTGAAAATGTTAATCTTTTGTGGAGGAGGTACCAAAGGAAGTGGGCCGATGTTGCCCATTTCCGAACTTGATGTAATTTCGACATGTAAAAAGTTTGAATCAAATCGGACACACCCTTCGAGAGTTATCGTGCCAGCCAGACAGACAGATAGACAGGGTGACGAATAGACAGACCGTCAGTCACCCTTAGATCGACTCTAAATGTCCTGAATCGAATTTGGTCGAAGGAGACATAGGTCTTATACTGTAAACATGTATACACTCTGTAGCCACATGGCTCAGGCTGAGTATAACAAGCTGAAAGGGAGGAACATATCCCCTCCCTTTAGGTTACACCGCGATTCGCATGCCCTGGTTTAGCTCTATTTTCATAATCTACCGAATTTTTCCATGAACTTTATTGCACAGTGTAATTTTTTGTTGGACATTATTATTATGATGATGTGCCAAAATTTTAACCAATTTTGACCTTTGGTGAGAATGGTACCAAAGGATGTAGATATGCCTTTTACAAGCATACGAATGTTTTAACAATTGATCCAAATCTTGTACTCCTTTCGAATGATGTGGCTACATCACTCCAAACTTCTTCAAACCACAATATTTAATCATAAGGGTGTGGACTATTTTTATACCCTCCACCTTGGAAAGGAGGGTGTTGGATGAGGAATCCGCCTCGCTAATGGTTTCCACTGGATTTTGAATAAAGATGCTATTGGTTCAAACAAACAGTATAACTTTATTTAATCCAATATATCTTATATTAAAATTCCTGAAAATATTCAAATTAATTTAAATGTACGGATTTCGATGTGGATATTCTTACTTTTTGGTATGGAAACCACTAGAATATCAATTGATGTGTTAGATATTTTTTGATTATTATCCGTCTAAAAATAATTATGTCCGGCCAGGCTAAGTACCAATTTCCAAAAGACGGAAATTGACGTCTAGTCATTGACAGAGAGGCCATAAACTAACTCCGAAAATATTTTCGACGAGTTAGTTACAAGCTGTTTTAAATGAAAGCTTAGCGTATAAAACACATCTACGAACTAAATAAGAGTTTTGCAGGTGGCGGCAACATCCTCCCCCCCAGTATGACAAGAGGAGTCCTCGCCGTCATACGACTTTTGGGAAGCCACATCCAAAACTGCCAGTTTCGCCACAGGTCTTTCCATTATTCCATTTGCCGTTAGAACCTTCGCACTTCTAACCTGTCCATCCTTTGCCAACCTAGTCTCCAGTATCTTACCTCGTGGCCAGACATTACGAGGAAAGGAAGGGTCAACGATTACCACCAAGTCCCCTTTACGAAGAGGAGCCTGCCTTTCAAACCACTTTGACCTACACGTTAATGTGGGCAAATATTCTGCCAGCCACCTCTTCCAGAACACATTTGCATACTGCTGAGAAACCAACCAACTGTGCCTTAACACTACGCCACTACCATCACACGTAGACATCGGTTTGAGCCCATTTGAACTACCCACTAGCAAATGATTCGGAGTAATCGCTTCTTCAAATTCGTCGCCTATCGGTACATACGTCAAAGGTCTTGAGTTCACAATATTTTCTACCTCGATTAAATTGCTAAACAGTATCTCGTCGGTGGGAGCTCTTGACGGGGTTATCTTATACAAAATAGTCTTTATCGACCGCACCAACCGCTCCCACGCACCTCCCATATGTGGAGAAGAAGGTGGATTAAAATTCCACTTTGTGGTAGTGGTGGTAAATGATCTGATGAATTCATTTTTGTCGACGTCATGTAGAGCTTCTCTCAGCTCACGTTCAGCACCGACGAAGTTCGTACCATTGTCGCTAAAAAATTCTTTCGGAATTCCTCTTCTCGACATAAAATTACGAATGGCTAGTATACAGGAACTAGTGTTAAGAGAATGCACGAACTCAATATGTACTGCTCTCACCGTCAGGCATGTGAATAAACAACCATATCGCTTTTCTCTGTGACGACCAACAGTCACAATTAAGGGTCCAAAAAAATCCAAACCTGTGTAAGTAAAAGGTGACTCAGAAGAGGCTAGCCGAGCCCGTGGCAATTTAGCCATTTGGGGAGCGTTTGGCTTGCCCTTTTGGCTTGCCCTTTGCACCACTGACAATTTCTAACTACGTGTTTGTAAGCAATACGTAGTTTATTGATAAAAAAAAGCTGTCTAATTTCGTTGACTGCAGTTTCATGATTCATGTGCTGAAATTTTACATGATAATCCATCATTAAAAGGCTCGTTATATAACTTGATTTAGGCAGGATTATAGGCG